GGTATATGGTGGACATGATCGAAATCGATGGTCGAACTATCATACCGCAGCTCTGAGGCATTCCGTCCACCTATGAATTCCAGTCTCCTATTTGCTACCAAACTTTGCTGTTGGCTGCTATGTACGACCTTACCAGCTTATCCAAGTTTAGGGTACGTCCCATAGCACCTCCGAATGCGCTGTAACACAGTGGAAGAACCCTGTAATGATTGTGTGTGCATAAAGTCCGGAAACGTACCCTACGCGACGTTTAACAGGTTATGTTTAGGTAGACCTCGAAGCACAGCGTCTAGGTGGTGTAGTTTCCGCCTATGTAACTCTCTTTCCTATGCCTGCAACGTACTTCTGTAGCTTCGGTACGTATTAGGCCACCATTCTGCTTTGCCTTAACGAAATTGTCTGCTTCCTTGGTGTCGACTAAATTAAGGATTCAGTGTGAGGGAGCTTTAGAGCCTAAACTTTCAAATATCTAGTCAGTCCTTAACTTTATTCCGTGTGTATTATTGAATTTCGCTCGACAAAACGACTTGTCACCAAACCAGGTGCTGGCACATTCACTCTGCCTACTTTTATTTATTCAGTAGTTATATTTTATTCCAGTAAATATCAATGATTACATACGTTCACCGTTTCCTTCAGCGACACAAAAGAACAACACCAAAGGTGCGTCGGAACCTCCAGCCAAAATCCATCACTTTCCGGCCGCTCCTAACGGTGGTCACTACCAGCAGCAGCATCAGCCGCAGCAACATCAACATCAGGCTGCCGTTGCTCCGCGTCGACGCGCCAACTCCCATCGTCTGACAGACGCTCAAGTCTTCGACCGTTTACGCGCCATTGTCAGTCCCGGAGATCCCCTCCAAAAGTATCAACTTGTGGAGAAGATAGGTCAGGGGTAAGTCTGCCGGGTCCACTCTCTTTCTAGGTGAACATACGCAGTCTGTCGCCGTTTCTGCCCCCTCCCTTCACCCTCAGACGCCCTCATTTTGCTTTTTTTTAGAGCTTCCGGTG